TGATTGATCAATGATAAAACTAAAGGTACATCGACTTCACTTTCATTGCGATTAGTCCGCGGTCCCACGCTCTTACAATTTGTGCATTTCCACGAGTACTTTGCTGCGTGTGACTTGGATTTGTAGGATTTTTCCTGCAATTCAGCACATTTCCCAAAAGTTTACATGTAAGAATACTCATTACACTTCTTCTTCTTCACGTAGAAGTACATCTCCTTCACGTAAAAGTAACTGACACAATAAGCAAGTGTCGGACATGGCACAGAGAAAGCCAATAAATAGATATAATGTTATGCTAGGAAAGTTCTAGATACACCCGTTATATCACTGTAACAATGGTAGCAGGGGTAGCAGCGGCAGCATAAAAAAGAAAAAAAAAAGACCGCTATGACATAGGGAGAGCTACTAACCTGCAAGAATAGCGTACAGAGAATCAGACGTGTTCCCAGTGCTGCTGCCACTGCCAAAATGCCGCCGCCTGAGATATCCCCTGCTATATGAGGCTGCGATGCATGGATAGCACTTGCGCAGTGAGCGTCCGGGAAAATTTGAAGCCAGCGGAACACAGCCAAGCCAACAGGTTTCGGCGTAATACTTTGGCAAAATTGTGCGTAGAATCAGCCGGTCCAGCGGTGCACTGGTAGGGTTGAATTCAGAACGTGTCCCGCAGGGCACTGATTCCGCAACTGCAAAAGTAGCGTACAAAGAATCAGACGTTTTTCTAGTGCTGCTGCCTCTGCCAAAATATATTTGAGGCAACAACCATAAAAAGGCCTCATAAACTGTACCAGCCAATACTACTACCAAATGAAGATGGTTAACTACACAAAAGCAGATGCACTGTGCACCAAAACCTTTCATGAAATCATCCGTGTGGTTGTGTATAGGAAGCTACGAAAGAGGTTTGTGCGCAACAGTCCCAATTAACTCCACAGCGGACATCGGTCGTGAAGAACTTCAGCGAACACTCGAATTCACTGCACAGTGTGGCGGAAACTGGAAGCAATCAGCTATGATAATGCCATGCATGCTCGGTGATATACCACGACCTTGATGCAACTGAAAACAATAAAATCTCCACCTAAACGTTCTGATCGATATCCACAACATCACCACTCTCGTCGACACTGAAGCAGACTGTTCCTTCATCAGTGAGTTGATCTTCATTGAAATGAAGTGGGTATACAGAGGCAGAGCATGAAGCACGTACTTTCCGGAGCCCTCCACTACGGCGTCTGTCATAATCACATGGTGGTTTTGGGACGTTAAACCCCACATATCAATCATGAAGCACGTAGACAACATTGACTGTTCTAAAATATATACGCCTAGGCATTGGCTTCTCCTCCCGAATGCCTTGGCCCGACATTCAAAATTAATGCGAAATTATATAAAAACGCAAAAGCATTATTCTTCTCGCCACATACAAGCTTCGCCAACAGCACGACAGCCTTTGCGACCATATCAGCAGTGCCGTGGAGCGGAGAAAAGAGTGGCCTACGCCCACCTCAGGAAACACGCTTCCTCGGTGCGACTGGGACGGCCGGAGAGAAACCTGCCGCGCGCCCACCATATCTAAGGCCATGGGGAGAAATATCATGTTTAAAGTGTGAATACACTTTATAAGCGACCCCAAACCATTCACCGCCGTCGGCGGCGTCCGCAGTCTTCTCTCTATCTTTAGAAGAAAGAGGACTTCGCGGGCCGCAGCGCGACGCTCTACCGAATAAGCCACAGACGCGACGCTGATATCGGTGTCAGTAACGCGCCTTATATCTTTAACGCCGCTGCGCGTGTTCCCCTCCCCCTTCGTTCGCTCCTCCGCTCTCCTCGCTCACTGCAGCTGCGCGCCCACCCCTCTCTCTCGCGCGCCCGCCTTCTCTCTCAGTCTCCCGTCGAGAGCAGGTCGTGCGATGGATGTCCCGGAGGCAACGCTACCATCAACAACGAATGCAGTACAACCGAATGCCAGCACTGCACCCGTCGTTGGAGGTGACGGTACCGCGGTGGTTTCGCCGACGTTGGAAGACAAGGCGGCACTGCGAAGGGCTCGTGAGACCGAACGTAAGCGGGCGAAGCGTGCAGCGGATGCTGAACTGCGTGCTCCCGAGGCCGAGTGCAAGCGGGCGAAGCGTGCAGCGGATGCCGAACTGCGCGCTCGCGAGGCCGAGGACAAGCGGGCGAAGCGTGCAGAGGATGCCGAGCTTCGCGCTCGCGAGGCCGAGGACAAGCGGGTGAAGCGTGCAGCGGATGATGAACTGCGCGCTCGCGAGGCCGAGATGAGGCGTCAGCATCGAGCTGCGAACGCGGCCCAAGAAGCGGAACGGCAACGCAAGCGTCAGGCGGAGAAGGGCGATGAAGGCCGGCGTCAAGACGCCGCTCGCAATCGTCAACGGCGAGTGGACGTTCCCGAAGCCGTTCGAGCCAGTGAACGTGCCGCGCGGAAGAGGGTGCGAGCCCTGGACTTTGCTCGTCCGGACGCGAATTTCAAACGCGACTTTGTGGATCGCAGCTTCGGTCACAGCTGCGCCGTGTGTGACCGGCTGTGGTTCGATAACAACCTGAGCTGCATTTCCGGCGTGAGGAACGAGACCAACAGGTTGAACGCGTTGCGGGTTCTTTGGAACGAGTTCGGAAGACGGTCGGGCGAACACCGATGCGACGACATGGATGCGCAAGACCCGCGGCTGGCTCCCTTCGGTGCGTTCCGGGTGTGTGCGTCTTGCCGAGAGTCCCTGCTGGCCGGGCGGGTTTCGCCGTTGATAGTGTGAATAATAAATATAATAGTGCGAACTAATAAATACCCCTCATAGCATCACCCCGTGCATTCGCACTTAACCATGTTCACCCTCGGGGAAATGCTTGGGAGTTTTTTAGCATTACCAGCAAGATGGCGCATTGAGCGCGCATTGCAACATCGTCACAACTAGGTGGTGTCCCCTTTAATCTCCCACGCGTACTTTGCCCCGCGGAAAAGGAACAGGCTGAATGTTCACGTGTGCGCTTGCTTATCTCGCAGTGGGGACAGTCGTACGCCTTGGGCTCAGAAAAAACAATGCTTTTGTAGTTACCAAGCACACAAAGGCCACTGCATTCGTTGCACAGTCTCATATGTGAAAAGAGTGCGCTTTTAAGACAGAGCGAAGCAACATTAGAGACACTTATTCGCGTTCATCAGTACCTGTGGGTACGTTTCATGCGTCATTTGTGTGTGAAAAACGCGGAGAAAATTTCCTTTTGCTTACTATTCTTCATGTGACCTTTCAATTTGTTGCTATGGCGTTCATTCCTTCATCTTTGAAGCAAAGCTGTGGCCATTTTATCATTTTGATAAAAAATTTGAATAGTTTGCCAGTAGACATCTTTGGACATGCGCACCTTTGTCGATCATTGCTTTTGCTCGTTATCGTGTACGTACATAAGAAGCTCAGTCAGGTACGATAAATAGGCAGTAGCATGCCCTCTGCGTGGTGTCTGCATCTTGAAAGGAAGAGTGAGTGAGTGCTTCAAGGGATTTTCAAACAATCTGCATTTCGCAAGCAGTATTATAGAAAGCTTGGTTTTTAGATGCGGAGCATCTAATACTCGAGGCTTGTAGTGCGGCGCCGTCCGCAAGCTTCCTCCTCCTTCTTCCACCATCTGTGCATTTCTTCCTCCTCTACACACCGCGCGCGCTTCACTCCTCCACCATCTGTGCACCCTTCCTCCTCTACACACCGCGTGCGCTTCTCCTCTTCACGAACATTCGCTAGCTGTATAATGTAGCGCGCATGCGCCGTCACGCTTCGAGAACATCGGCAGCTGATGCGCGCGCATGCGCCGTCGCGCTTCGAGAACATCGGCAGCTGACGCGCGCGCATGCGCCGTTGCGCTTCTCCCCTTCTCGAACATTCGACAGCTGACAGTGCATGCGCCGTCGCGCTGTATATATACTCAAGGTCGGCGCTCGCTCGCTCAGTTGCCGCTCGTCGGCTGGTTTGTACGGCGCGTCGACGTCCAAGGTCGCGGTGAAATGAATTCCAACGAATCCACAAACACAATGATCGACGTCCCTTCGACCAGCGCCGCCCTTTCGCATACGTGTGTACGTGTTCACTCATTTAACACCCCCTCCTACAACCACGTTAACCAATTTAGCCATCGACCCAAGTAAGTCGCAATTTAACAACCCATTTCACAACCACGTTAACTAATTTAGCCATCGACCCAAGTAAGTCGCACTTTAACACCCCGTTAACCAATTATATGCTCCGCATCCTCCTCAGTGTTCCCCCGAGGGAAGCTGCGGGCAATTTGTTTGGTCCACAGTTACTATGACCTACATATTCACTTATTGCTTAGTAGCGACATAAAGTCAAAGCATTACTGCAAGGCACTTGCGATGTCCTCCATACCAAGCCACAGATGCTGTTGCGGTTAACTCTTTTTGTCGCTTCGCTGAAGATGCAATATTCATATACACGTGCTCATGAAGTACTCATTTTTTGTTTTTTTCTGCTATGAGTTATGCGTTTTGCATTTAAAGAGTCTTCGGTGATGACCCATGTATGTAATATGTAGCTGTGACACAAGTGTTTTTTATTTACCTTTGAAATATAATTGAGGAGAAACCTTCAAGAAGCAGAATATGTTCGATGTGATTTGGATGCACAATACATGATGAACAAATGAACAGACATACCTTCAGCAAGACACGTATAATATTGCATGGTGTTGTTGGTGTCAGGGCACGCAATACGCAGTGTTTTTTGTTTTGCAAAACAGCAACCAAACAAGCTACATTGATCTCGTAAATATGGTAAATTTATGTCGTGTTTGAAACTATTTAAAGTTTCTAGAAACGCATAAAAATGGCTTGAAATTCAGAATATTGGGAAGCGCAAAGCTTTTATTTATCGCGTTCATTTGCATACGCGGTAATATACACGCTGTATATTGAAATGAAATATGTCTCAGCTCTATTTTTACAATACACCGCACTATTTACTGCACCAACGTAGTGGCAGTCAAGGATTGGCTACTGCCCTCAGCGGGACGCCCTGCCGGAAAAGCTTAACGCCCACGAGAACCTCTACCTGTTTGGCCGTCTTCGAGGGGTACCTGAAGAAAGCCTACCGGATATAGTGAGGCAAATGATCGAGCTCACCGGTTTGCAAGAACATGCAGACAAGAGGTGTGACTACTATAGGTAAGGTTCTTCGTAAGCTAAGACGTAGTTAGCTGATCATATAGTATAGTAATAGAGCCAATTTTACGTGGTGATACGTCCGTAATATTATAAGGCGGGTCGTGTGCCGCCTTTACGGGCGGTAATGTTGTTTGCGTTTCGTCACTTAGAGTTATTGACATACGATCACAATGACCTAGAATCACATCCGCACGTTCTATCTTCGCTGCGCAACACCTAAAATGCTATGTTACGATGACGAGTGCTAGTCAGATGAAATTGTCGAAAGAAAATTTATTCAACTTGCATATGAAAAAAATATCTTCAAAAGCATGAAGAAGTGTGACGCAAAAGAAAGCGCCACCACCGCAAGAATGAAAGTAAAAAATTATATAATTTACCAACAGTAAACTATCAGTTTTTTTAACTAATCAAAGAGAATTAGCGCTGGACTTCAAGTACGGAATGAGGAGAAAAATTCAAGCTTTGTTCCAAGAACTTCAGACTGAAACTATTTGAGAAACATTTTAATCTATGAGTGTCCTGGTTTCTTTAATGCACGATATTGCATTGTGGCACACGTTGTTGTTTGTTGCCGTTGTACCCCGCCGCGGTGGTCTAGTGGCTAAGGTACTCGGCTGCTGACCCGCAGGTCGCGGGTTCGAATCCCGGCTGCGGCGGCTGCATTTTCGATGGACGCGGAAATGTTGTAGGCCCGTGTGCTCAGATTTGGGTGCACGTTAAAGAACCCCAGGTGGTCGAAATTTCCGGAGCCCTCCACTACGGCGTCTCTCATAATCATTTGCTGGTTTTGGGACGTTAAACCCCACATATCAATATTGTTGCCGTTGTTTTGAGGGTATCTGGTTGTGGTGTTTACCAGTTGTTTTGAGTATCTTGTGATTGGTGACATATTGTGTTTGATTTTTTCCGAGTGTGCATGTATGTGTGTTGATGGTTGTGCCGTATTTTAGAATACATTTTAAATGCGGAGCATTTCTTAGCGAACTTCAGTGACTTTGAGCGTATCTATCTATCTATCTATCTATCTATCTATCTATATATAGATTTAACTATCTATCTATCCGCCTACGACTTTTAGCTCTCCTGGCCGTGTCAACGATGGTATCTATACGAAACTTGGTATGGCATAACATGACTGTATGATGAACATACCTGAATAGTCATAACTTGAAAATCATGATATGTATGTCATGAATGTCATAATTTACAACTCATAATCCTACAGCTATTGCGGTGAATCGTTCACAAGGCATGTGGCAAAACTGGTATGGTATGACATGATTGCATGGCAACACAAGCGACCGACCCTAACATGAAAATTATTACATGCGTGTCATGTAACAACTTGGCTACATGCCACGCTCATAATGCGCTCGCGACCGTTTCGCTAGCGTCACATATTAGACTACGGGAATGGATGATGAAGGTATGTGACTTGTGCCAACATGATAATTATAAGATGCCGTTTCATGTAACAACATCACTACATGCCAGGCTCATGATGCGCTGACGGCCGTTTTGCTAGCTTTATTTATACCAAATTTGTTATTACGGGGCGTGAATAAATGGCGAAGGTATGACACTGGCGGAAATATGATAAACATGAGATGCGTGCCAAGTAACAACATGACTACATCCTACGTTCATCATGCACTCGCGGCCTTTTCGCTAGCTTCACATGTTTCAATCTTGGTATTACGTGACGCGAGCAGACAACATAGATAAATGACACAACCAAACATAATCACGACATGCGTGTCCTGTAACAACATGACTATACGCGCACTCATGTGCTCGCGGCCGTTTCGCTAGCTTCACATATGCCAAACTTGGTATTGCTTTACGTCAATGCATGACGAAAGTATGTGACTGGTGTAAACATCATAATCATGAGATGCGTGTCATGTGAGAACATGACTATATGCCACAGTCAAGGCACAAATACACTTACATGTGACGTAGTGCGCGTACTCGCTGGCGTTCAGTTCGTTGCGTCACGCCAGCGTTGCCACACCAGACGCCGATCCTGCCATACACTCGCAGGCTCGCGCCACGCTGCGTTGCTTTGACCCATGTGCGTTTCAGCGCGTCGAGCGTCTCTCCGTGACGAAAAAACGGAGACGCAGTGTTGTCTGGGTAACACATCGGCACGAAATGCACCATGTCACATTTCGCGCCGGTTGCCGTCGGGCCGCACCGGCAGATGCTGGTCGCGCTTGTCGCACCTGGCGTCACACCACAGAGTGCTCACGTTTTTCTAACGTATCGTCGCTGTCCCCAGCGTGCGCACGCGTCAACGCTACATTGGAGTACACTGGAGCCTTGATAATCCTGACACAGGAATATGGCAACATACGCATGACACATCAACATGACAACTTACCACGCTCATAGCGTGCACGTGGGTGTTTTTCTAGCTCTTCATTTACTAACTTTGGTATCACGGGATCTGAATAGATGACGAAGATAAACGACACATCCAAACATGATAATCATAACACAGAGGTCATGTACGGCATCATTTGCCTCCACCTCGTAACGTTGTGGTGATTCTAAAGATACATATCAACCTTCCTCAATCGATTTCCACTTTGCGTGGGATCTGCCAATTTTATGTTTTGTTTTAGACTCTCGACTCCGTTTCCTTCTTTGGACCACGGACGGTGTTCGCTGGAGCGTAAAAGGGTCCAAATGTAAATTGTACGTCCTTTTGAAGTGCGATTCGGGGAGCCGATACTTCCGCCTTCGGAATCAGCCCGGCGACTGCCTCCCTAATAAGCAGGACCAGTAACACTGGCTATGGATGCAATGTTATCGGGCATTCTAACCTAGAGTGATTTTAAATGCCTCATGGTGTGCTGTCTAGTACATTCGCGCTGATCACGTTGAGTTTGCAGAAAATTTTTTAGTAAATAACTTGTTAAATAGCGGCCCTTCATTTGTCTCTTTTCTTCGTCCACGATTGCTCCACGCAAATACTTGCATAATATCGTTTCAACCTGGTCGCTTGGAAGTTTTGCTTTAACAAGAAAAATCACTGCTCCTTGTACCACGCAAGAGCAAAAGTCTTACTGTGCAAAGTATGGCTTTGCCTCTAACGCACACTTTTGGACCCAAAATGTCGACAAGAACACACTCCATCATCGTGAAATACCTCGTAGGTATGGTCTGCGAGGCGTCTGAGAATGTTTTTGGTCTAAAATAATGACCTAGAAGCTTCTCAGAAAAACCTGGTCATCGGACAGGCATCGACACCCACTATGGGTCGCCAGCGTGTTAAGCTACGTTTGGCGCTTGAGGTAGTAACCATGCGCATCTGTGTCAATTTATTTAAATATAAAATAAACGAAGGAATTTTAGCAACCGTTACTTGGCGACGGCTACCCCTTTCCACTTGATCGTATTGTTGGTGACTATTGTTTATGCGAGCTAGCTGATAAGTTGGACAAGTTCATAGTTATTTTGGCACAGAATCATTGCATTAAGCAAGGTTCGCACGCCTTCTCCTTAAACAAGTCGGAAGGGGGAAATCACGTTCTGTTTTGATAAGCAGTATTGTACGCAAATAAAGTCTATAGAAGAACCTCGTCTCAGGTTTTTTGTTTTATGATCGCGTATAATGACAGCATATTTGCTATGGTCTTGTTAAGCCCTTTTATCAGTGTATTGTTTTGCATGTGATTAGCTGTAGAGCTCAGTTGAACAAAAATCCCAGCACATCCACGGAATGCACGATGATGATTGGGGCGAAGCGTCCGTCAGTCCGTCCGTGCGTCCATCTTTCTGACCGTCCGTTTGTCCGTTAGTGCGTCCGTCTGTGCGTCCATTCGTCCGTCCATTCGTCCGTGTGTTCGTTCATTCATGCGTATATCTGGCTATCGTGCATCTAACTCTACGTCCGTGCGTTCGTCCATCCACTCGTTCATCTAGTGACCACTCCCAAGTACTGCCATCTCGCATTTTTTGACCATATATTCATATATTTCGAAATACCGCCATCCAGCGGACATTCCAAAGACTAAACAAAAGGTGGCAAGGCAGGACTAGAGGAGTGGCCGAGCGCACTTTCTTATGGCCTGCGTTTTGTGTCTAGTCCTCCAACTTTAACCACCGCTAGTTCATAGCACTGTAGCCTAACCCTGGCTTAAAAAATTATTTCCAGATCTATCTTACATACCCTGTGTACACAAAAAGATATGCAATGTTCTTGATGCGTATGTTCAGTGCAAGCTGTTATATACAGCAAAAATAACTTTCTTGTGTATGCAGTCCGTTTCATATGTACAATGGAAAAATAGCGAAAGTTGGGCAAGTAGGTGGTTCTTGCCTGGGAAGTCAAAGCAGCCAAAAAATATAAACAAGTGTCGTCTGTTCTTCTGCCCTTGCCTAAATTTTTGACGCTGTTTCTACAGCCCAGTTACGATGCAAAAATTTATACAAGGATGCGACGTTCATAAAAACCGAGATGATTAAGCTTACCCTATCGCAAAAACAGCGTAATACAAGAACGTTTTTTGGCACTGGTACACGCTGGAGACGCTGGTACACGCCTGTAATCACTGGCCCTTGGCTGGGCGCACTGGGAAAAGGATGTGTCGCACTAGTAGGGGCGCTGGCTCAACCACTGTGAAGCTGGTGAGCACTGCGAAGCGCTGCAGGCGCTGGAATTTTCACTGGCAAGCGCTGGTGAATACTGGAGCACGCACTGTTTCTACCAGCGCAGCTGCAGCGTGGATGTTATTGTAGCGTGTGCCGTGAATTGTTTCGGCGTAGTTGAATACAAAACGCTTGATTCGACGTCAGGGAAACATGCTACCCAAACAGATGCGGAGCATACGTAATTTTTTAACAGATACCGAGCATACGTAAGTGGTCTTCTCCAGTGCCCGGCCCAGCGAGCATTAAACCTGTCATGTCAGCCGCGTTGGTATATATGTTACCGGCGCTTCTTGCTTCGTGTACACACGACTTTAAAGTGCGAGAATAACTGTAAAGTA